AATCATATGTGATTCACATGTAAATCACATGTGAATCGCATGTGATTCATATGTCAATTACATGAAAATCACATATGTATTTTTGTGAGTGTTTTTGCATCAATCATTTTTTTAAATTTTCTTGTAGATTTGAAAGAAATTGTGGTGAATATTGAAGAGGTGGAAAATAATAAATTGAAAAAAATAAGAAAATATTGACACGAAGACATGAAAAAGCTTTGAAATTTATAGTATTTTTTATTTTTTTATATTTTATTTTGTATTGAATAAAATACTTGTACTCTTATGTTTATAGATTAATTAATAAAAATGAGATTTTTTGTGACTTACTTACGAATATTATAGTATAAAAAATATACATATCTGCATTTGAAAAAATATGCATATATGCACCTAAATATTTACTTTTTTTAAAAGAAAATTCGGTTTTTTTTTGTGCAATTTCAGTTTTTTTAAATGTAGTTTTTTTTTATTGAAAAAATGTAACTTTCGTTAAAAAACTTGTAGTTTTTTTGAAAAATTTGCAGTTTTTTTTATTTAAAATATGTAGCTTTTTTTAAAATATTGGAGTTTTTTCCGAAAAAATGCAGTTTTCTTTAGAAAAATTGTTGTTTTTTTGAAAAAAAAAATGCAGTTTTTTGAAAAAAGAATGCAATAATTTTTTTTTTAAATTGCAGTTTTTTGAAAAAACAAATGCAGTTTTTAACTTTTTTTTTTTTTTCAAAAATTCATGTTTTCTATAAAAAAATTTAAAAAATCTGCATTTAAAAAAAACAAACAAACAAAAATACTATATTTTAAAAAATCTGAGAATTTGATTTATGATGTAAATTTTTAGACATTTATATTAATATATTAAATAACACAAAAAATTAAACATTAAATGAGATTGGTAAGATGACGATCATGTTCTTAATGAATTGTTTTTGATCCAACGTTCCACTTTTAGTTCTCAGGTTCTTGAGAAAATATAAGTTCTCAACCCTATATATATATATATATATATATATATATATATATATATATATATATATACACACACACACACACACACATCTTTTTTACTGATGCATCCTACACCCCATTTGTATAATTCCAATGACACCACATCGTCCAATATTGGAATGACGCCAATCAAATTCGAGGCAAAAGGATTAAGGATTAGGGCATATCATTGTTAATTTTTTGCTTTCAGGGTCTTGATGGAGATGCTCTACCGCATGAGAAACTTACGCTCGAATATGCATAATTTTCTTTGGATTGCATGCTCTCTAGGGTTTTTATTGTTGATCGAATAATTGTTATATTTGTTTGAAATCCATTCAGATTTCATATATCATTCCAATAGGTTTTCATAGAATCACGCGAGGATGCATTATCATCTTTCAAATAAAGGATGATAATCTGGTCACTCCTTCGGATCGTAAATTAGGCAAGGCTATTTTTTTTTTAATTTCTTTTATTTGGTCGTTGAGAATTTTCTGGGGCTTTTAATTGAACCTGCATTATGATCTTTTATTTCTTTTCTTAAGTTGATGCTTTTTAATTTCATGATCAGTTATTTTGTTGTACAAGGTTAATGTTTAATTTTTCATTTCCTATCTTTTTAATTATTTGTCTCTTGTAACTTGTGAACTATTATATGGAAGTGTATTTCATTTTCTAAATCTGTTGGGGATTTTTGAAATATTTCATAAGCTTCTAGATCAAGAAAAGCTTAGCGAGACATTTATACATGCAATTCTAATTAAGGGGTTTCCACATAATCTATCATGGTATCGAGCCAAACCCTACGTCTCTTTCTAAGCGTGCCTACATTAGACTTAAGTTTTTTCTTTTTTCTTTAATCTACATTCCCAGTCCACCACAATCAATCATGTGTCTCCTCTTGTTCTTTGTCTCACTCCTACATCTCTTATCACAACCTCATTCACTGTTGCATTGGTTCCTTTAGATGTTGTTGACTATCATCACAACAACCCATGTTGAGCATTAAATATGTCCCACCTAATGTACACCAATCTTCTGTTGTTGTTGTTTTCTAGGAGCATCTTCGCTGCTGATCACTTGGCCTACTATCCTCTATCATTGTTTTGTTTGATTGATGCGGTCAATTTTCTCACAAGTTGCCCTCGGTTAATTCTTCTAGTGTTTCTCTACTACCATTGTTGTACATGAAGACACACACACACACACACACACATCTTTTTTACTGATGCATCCTACACCCCATTTGTATAATTCCAATGACACCACATCGTCCAATATTGGAATGACGCCAATCAAATTCGAGGCAAAAGGATTAAGGATTAGGGCATATCATTGTTAATTTTTTGCTTTCAGGGTCTTGATGGAGATGCTCTACCGCAGGAGAAATTTACGCTCGAATATGCATAATTTTCTTTGGATTGCATGCTCTCTAGGGTTTTTATTGTTGATCGAATAATTGTTATATTTGTTTGAAATCCATTCAAATTTCATATATCATTGCGATAGGTTTTCATAGAATCACGCAAGGATGCATTATCATCTTTCAAATAAAGGATGATAATCTGGTCACTCCTTCGGATCGTAAATTAGGCAAGGCTATTTTGTTTTTTTTAATTTCTTTTATTTGGTCGTTGAGAATTTTCTGGGGCTTTTAATTGAACCTGCATTATGATCTTTTATTTCTTTTCTTAAGTTGATGCTTTTTAATTTCATGATCAGCTATTTTGTTGTACAAGGTTAATGTTTAATTTTTCATTTCCTATCTTTTTAATTATTTGTCTCTTGTAACTTGTGAACTATTATATGGAAGTGTATTTCATTTTCTGAACATGTTAGGGATTTTTGAAATATTGCATAAGCTTCTAGATCAAGAAAAGCTTAGCGAGACATTTATACATGCAATCCTAATTAAGGGGTTTCCACATAATCTATCATGGTATCGAGCCAAACCCTACGTCTCTTTCTAAGCGTGCCTACATTAGACTTAAGTTTTTTCTTTTTTCTTTAATCTACATTCCCAGTCCACCACAATCAATCCTATGTCTCCTCCTGTTCTTTGTCTCACTCCTACATCTCTTATCACAACCTCATTCACTGTTGCATTGGTTCCTTTAGATGTTGTTGACTATCATCACAACAACCCATGTCGAGCATTAAATATGTCCCACCTAATGTACACCAATCTTCTGTTGTTGTTGTTTTCTAGGAGCATCTTCGCCGCTGATCACTTGGCCTACTATCCTCTATCATTGTTTTGTTTGATTGATGCGGTCAATTTTCTCACAAGTTGCCCTCGGTTAATTCTTCTAGTGTTTCTCTACTACCATTGTTGTACATGAAGACACTATTAGTTTGTTAGTTTACGTAATCTCAAGGCAAACACTTGCCTTTCCTTTTATCTCTTGTCATAATTAAATATATTTTGTGATTTTTTTCACTAGTTCATAATGTCCATTCCTACTAACACTACACGAAATCAAGGTACTACCGGCGATGCTTTTAGCGAGGATAAGAGCTTTTAGCGGAAACACAACACTTTGTCGTTGCTAAAAGCCCTTGTCACCACAAAGGCGTCACTGGTAATACCTTGTTGACCGAATCCATATTATCCCTTCCAGTAAACCCCAACTGTCTGATCGAATATCTAATGCAAAGCATGAAAAAGTCACCACTAAAGGCCGAAAAATTCACTGCTAATGGTCGAAACAAAGATGCGACATAAGCTCCCTCGTTATTGTCGCCACTATTGGTCATTGTTGCCGCTAAAGGTTAAGTGTCGCCGCTATTAATTACTGTCGCTACATGTTATAATGGCTAAATCCTTAGGAAACTTTAAGTACTTAGGTGTTATGCTAGACAAGATTTATGATATGTGTTGTACTTAATTGTTACGATGCCTAAATATCCTATTAAAATAACCATAATTAGGGTATATATATATATATATATATATATATATATATATATATATATATATATATATATATATATCACAGATAATTATGAGATAATAAATATATATATATATATATATATATATATATATATATATATATATATATATATATATATATATAATAACATGTAATAATGGCTAATTCTCTTGGAAACTTTAATTACTTATGAGTTATGTTAGACAAGATTTATGATATGTGTTGTACTTAATTGTTACGTTGTCCAAATATTCTATTAAAAATAACCATAATTAGTATATATATATATATATATATATATATATATATATATATATATATATATATATATATATATATATATATATATGTTGTGCGATTTGGATCATAGTTTTGTAAATCAAAACCGCAAACCGCACCGCAAATTGCGGTTTTAGAAAATCGTAAACCGTAGATCACACCACGAAAATTTAAACTGTATTCTATGGTACGGTGCGGTTTGAACAGTTTATACGGTTTGTGCGGTTTATTGCATACCTCTAAAAGTTACTCATGTGTTAAAAAATCTGAAAAAAATATTGTTATACCTAAAAGGTCTTAGTGAAGTGGGTTAATTTAGGGAAACTTTGTCAAAACAGTAGGACTTTGTGTTTGAACAAATCCATTGATCGTTAATTGTTAAAGGAAGAATCAAAAGCTTTCTTACATCATGCCTTTTTATATTCTACCTAAAACGAATATCTAATGATTTTCTTGAATTAATTTTTCAAAGAAATTATACTTTTTTCAACGTTTTTAATATTCAAATTATGAAAAATATGAATAGAAAGAAACATGTGTTTAAAGTCCTAATTTTAGGTGGAAAAATCATGAAAATAATGACGTGTTAATTTTTAAATGATGAAAAAAATAGAATCAACGTGTTCATAAATTTTAGTATAAAAAATTATGAATAAAGGTGGTCATCAAATGTTTAATTTGTTATAACTTAACTAAAAGACATTTACTAACTTGTCCTTTAGTTCATATACGTAGAAACGTTTGTAGTACTTAAATCAAGTTGATTATATTATAGAGATTTGTTCTCACCTTTTTAATATTTTTATTATTCTTAAATGAATATATAACTGGTTATAAATAAAAATGTAAGATACTGAATTCCCCACCCCCTTATTTGCAAGATGAAGTTAAAACCAAAGTCACCCACCATTTTTCACTTCTGGTATCTCATCTTTGTATGCAATGTGGTTCTTGAAGCCTCCAACAATGGTGATATAGGATTTCGATTGGAAGAAAAAGATCATGTCAAAAGATCAGATTTCCCACCAGGGTTTATTTTCGGTGCAGGCAGTTCTGCCTATCAAGTTAATAATTTCCTCATTATCTTCCTTTTTCTCATGATCATAGCTTTTTATAACTCAACGTATGAATGCATGCAGGTTGAAGGAGCTTATCTTGAGGATATGAAATCCTTAAGCAACTGGGATGTATTTTGTCATTCTATAGGTTAATATCATCGATTATTCGATTGCTATAGTTTATATGATGAATTATTTTTAAACATTTAATGATGAATCCATTGCCATTTTTATTAGGTTGTGGAGAAAACGGAGAGAATGGAGATATTGCAGATTGTCATTATCATCTATTTTTGGTATAACTACTCTTTTTAATATGTCTAATGACTTTTGATATCAAAACAATTTGTTTATTTCGAATATGATTCTTTATTAATGTTTCCTTAAAACAGAAAGATATTGAGATAATGCATTCCATTGGCCTAAAAGCATACCGATTTTCGATTTCATGGGCTAGAATTCTTCCAAGAGGAAGGTTTGGTGAAGTTAATATGGCAGGGATCATGTTCTATGAGAAGATCATAGACAATCTAATTCTCAAAGGTGCTTTAGTTAAAAGTGAAATAATATAATATATATGTGAAATCCAAGATTAACTCTCTAAAAAAGCTTTATGGAGAGATGATGAGAGACTTCACACACACACATATATATATAATATATATATATATATATATATATATATATATATATATATATATATATATATATATATATATATATATGTATATATATATATATATGTATATGTATATATATATATATATATATATGTATATGTATATATATAACCATGTCACCTCAATACCATGCATGATATATGTAGAGCTCAAGATTCCCTCCAAATAAGCCTTTCTGAGAAAGGAAAACTTCAACTTCTATAGAAATAAATAGGATGTTGTGCCATTGTTAGATACACTTAGATACATTAACAAATAATTTATTTGATTTGGTCTCAAATTTTAGATACATGTATGAGTTCCGATGTGTTTTTAGTTTTACGCAATATTTTGTGAATGAGACTTGACAACAATACTATAGGAATCGAGCCATTTGTGACGATTCATCATTATGATTTTCCGCAAGAACTTGAAGATAGATATGGATCCTGGCTAAATCCTGAAATGCAGTAAGTCTAAAAATTGTCATTTCATCTTTGTATCGATTGTTTTTCTACTCTTTCTGTTCTCTATCTAACGTAATATGGTGGCAGAGAAGACTTTGTACATTTGGCAGATATTTGTTTCAAATATTTTGGAGACCGAGTAAAGTATTGGACTACAATAAACGAACCAAACCTGTTCACAGATTTAGCTTATAGGTGGGGGATTTATCCACCTTCTCGTTGCTCAGAGTTTTTTGGCAACTGTCGTACCGGAAATTCTGACGTTGAGCCTCTCATTGTTATGCATAACCTGGTATTGGCCCATGGCAAAGCAGCAAATCTATATCGTCAAAAGTACAAGGTAATTATTTATCATGATTTTTTTTTTTACAAATATTCGGCGTCCATTCACTTTGTAAATATGAGTTTGCATTTATTTTTTTACAAATAGGTGTCAGGTCACCAAAACTTAAGAATATTTAAGATATAATTGTCCATTTATATTTCCAACAATAGCCCTTTAACTTGTTCCCGAGAATGGATTCCTCCTCATTCATCAAGTCAATTTGGAGTGTGTGGTAACACTTGCGGGAATTCCAGACAACTACTTTAACTTGTTCAATGTGTTATAATCTATAAGTACGTCTTTTCTATTTATAATTTTAGTCTGTATCTTTATAATTTATATATATAAATTTAGAAACATAACACCAATTTGTATATAGTTGTTAACAATTTATACCATTAGAAAATGTCATCAAAGTAAATTCAAATTTCGATAATTCGTCACTGAATTTTAGAAAACAAAATCAAATTTGCTAACAATTTACACCTTTCACATCCCGATAATACATACTTTTTAAATAATCAAAGTTGATTGATATTATATTAAACATCTTTCGATAATTTAGAAAATACAAGATGACTTTAATGAAATATTCAAATTACTAATATACGAATGAAATGAGTCAAATACAATGGAAAATGTTTAGTTTCACCCGATATTTAGCTATCACCACTTTTATAGAAAAAAAAATTGTTTATTTTAAAGAGAATTTATATATGCTCTTACTAGGAATCAAAATGTCATATTTGTGATCTGTTGTTCTTTTTAATCTTTTAAAATATCATAGTT